TTGTCTCTACAATAAATCACAAAAATTAGCCGGGCATGGTGGCACGCATCCGTAGTTCCAGCTTCTTAGAAGGCTGAGGGGGAAGGATCACCTAAGCCCGGCAGATCGAGGCTGCAGTGGCCGTGAGCATGCCAGTGCACTCCAGCCTGGGTGACAGAGTGAGACTCCAACTCAAAAAAAAAAAAAATGTTGAGACAGTCATGTTACGTGTTCTCACCATAAAAGTGACAACTACCTAAGATAAAGAATTTGTTAGTTAGCTAGAATTAAGCACTGGCAATGTATAAATACTTCAAAACATTCCATTCTATGTGATACATTCATATAACTGTCAAAATAGTTTTTAAAAATATAATGGAATAACAATGTTGCAAATACTGAGCCTGTGTTCGTCATAACTTAGCTGAATAATATAAAAAAATATATGGTTTTTGTTGTTCCATTTATCAGTCTTATGCATGAGAACTCTGACATCTACCAGCATATGCAGGACCCAGCACATAACCTGAAAAGGGGCCAAAATACTTCAGGGCTTTACTTTAGCCTTGACTCACATGGAGTTTCTGGTGCTGGTGGTGATGATACAGAAGACACTACAAAAGCAGGTGGTACTAATATTGTCCCCTACGCCTGCCACTCACTCTATAAACACAGAAATCAAGTTTGGGCACCCAAAATCACTAAGGAAATGCTTTAACCCAACAGCTGAAATTTTGATCCAAGGTCTGAATTTTTTCTAGAAAGAATGACCAAGTTGGGTAGAGTTAGGTAACTAAAATGAAAAACTGTGGATTATGAACTGCACCCATTAAAATAAAGAAATATTGGCCAGGCTCGGTGGCTCAGCCTGTAATCCCACGCTTTGGGAGGCCGAGGTGAGTGGACTGCCTGAGTATGTGGGTTCGAGACCCACCTGGGCAACTTGGTGAGGCATCATTTCTACAATAAATTAAAAAATTAGCCGGGCGTGGTAGCGCGAACCTGTAGTTTCAGCTACTTGGAAGGCTGAGGCGGAAGGATCGCCAGAGCCCAGCAGGTGAAGGCTGAGGTGGCTGGGAGTGACCACTGCACTCCAGTCTGGGTGACAGAGTGAGACTCCAACTCAAAAAAAAAAAAAAAAGAAAAAGAAATATCATAAGAGCTGTCCAACATGCCACTATTAATCTGAAAAGATTGTTCCAAATTTTAAATCCATAGAAATCATGCTATTATTGTCAAATGCTTAACCTACACACTCAAAGATAGACTATTTGCAGAAAAACATAAGTGGTAGTATCAGTATTACATAGAAAAACAAATTCCAAATTCCTCCCTTACCATTAACTCTCCTTAAGAATATTTTTTCTCAAGGTATTTCCAAATTCTGATGTCTTTATATATAGTGCTGACAATATATGACCCACTGCTCTAAATGTTTTCCCCATTCTAACTAATCTTCTATTTACCACATTTTGTATTAGGATCCAATGTACTATGTGCAATGATATGGAGGGGCGGGGGGGGGGGGAACAGTGAGCACGCTGTAGCCCTAACTCAGGCAAAAGAGGGGAAGGACTCGGATGTGTTTATAGCTGGTGATGAATCTAAGAGTCAGAAAAATCTAAAGACAGGATATGAAAGAAACAGAATTCCTCTTTCTAATTTAGAGAGTTAGCTGCACAGCCTGGGTATAGATGTCCTCTCCTTACATGCAGAATCAATGCCATTTCTTCACCTTGATATTTCAATCTCTTACCTGGAGCCACAAACTCATCCCAAATGAAATATATCCTGCAAATTATAAAGTAATGTATTACACACCTAGCACTGTCCTGTGTTTGTTCACTTCATTTATGTCAAAGCACCCCCATGACTTATGAACCCTCCCCAATGTTTACCTGAACAGACTGGTCCAATAAAGTCAATATTCAGTTATAATAAGTGAAAATAACAATAACTAAAGAAATGTTGGTTTAGTGTTCAAATGAACAAAAAAATGGAGTGTACAAATTAAGTATAATGTAGCTTAATACACTCATTTTGAAACTACTCACATCTTCAAATTAGTATGTGAGAACCACTAATTTCCATTTTAAAATAATCTTATAAGCCGGGCTCAGTGGCTCAGCCTGTAATTCTGCACCTTGAGAGGCTGAGGTGAGTGGATTGCCTGAGCCCGCGGGTTTGAGACCCGCCTGGGCAACTTGGCGAGACCTCATCTCTACAATAAATCAAAAAATCAGCCGGGCGTGGTAGCGCGTGCCTGTAGTTCCAGCTACTTGGAAGGCTGTGGTGGAAGGATCGCTGGAGCTCAGCAGGTCGAGGCTGCGGTGGCCAGGAGCGGCCACTGCACTCCAGTCTGGGCGACAGAGTAAGACTCCAACCCCAAAAAATATATATATATTCTTATAAATCCTGAGGTTATATAAAGAATTCTTCATGACATTTGTTGGAAAAGGGGAATTAGGTCTAGCATGAGTAACAGGCATGTAAAACCAGGCAATCTGAATGAGTGAGGGTCTAAAAATAAGTCATAAGATACCAAAGAAATAAATCCACTATAAAACAGAATTTTTGCTTTCAGAATTGTTTAGGTTTCTAGTTTGTTAGTAAATTATCAACTTTTGAAATTATCTGTTTTGTTCAATTATTTTTCTGTTCTTCTCAAAATAGGTACATATCCACTCACACAAACACAATTGTTCCATAATTATTTTACACCTAAAGTTTCTAGAGTGTTATATTTGTATATTTAACTCACTGTAAATAAAGACTAGAAGTCTGTGCATATTTTGCAAGCCAGAGAGAATGCACATTCTAAAAACCTAAGATGAAATTTTATAAATATCTACCCAAAATTCAGAAATATATAACTTTGTATTACTCTTCTATATAATCTTCATTATAACCATCATAATCATCCTGTAGTTACAGAAAGAGTAAAAATGTAATGTACAAAGATTATCTTCTCCAAATTATTTGACATTTAAAGGCACTGGAAAAAGGGCAGATTGGATGTCATTCCATCATGTTAACCAATGTTAACATATTATTTACAATCTTGAGGAAGGTGGGATAGGTTACTATTGATGGCAAGATAACACTTTATTCAATGCACAACAGTTCAAATACATTAAAATTTTGTTTTATTAAAACAAATTAACTTCATACATAGTCTTAAAAAACATTTCAAAATCTACTGTATTACTTTAATGTGCTGTTGATAAATCAATTTACTTTTAATATTTAAATATTTCTGTCTTGCTACAATGCAGAATATGACTCTGATCACCTACCTTATGCATCACTTACAACACTGTTATAAGTCAACCACAAAGAGCCCCTCCACTTAGAATTTCTTGATGCATCTTACATTTCAGTGTCCTAAATCTTCCAAGAAAAAGTATATACATGATGCCCAGCTAATAGAGAAGGACCTCTAAAAGCTCTGATGCAACAACTCACCACATCCTTTTATATAAATAACAGAAAAAATTTGAGAGTTAAATTAATGTTTGAAATTTTTTTTTTTTTTTTTTTGAGTTGGAGTCTCACTTTGTCGCCCAGACTGGAGTGCAGTGGCCGCTCCCAGCCACCGCAGCCTCGACCTGCTGGGCTCCGGCGATCCTTCCGCCTCAGCCTTTCGAGTAGCCGGAATTACAGGCACGCGCTACCACGCCCGGCTAATTTTTTGATTTATTGTAGAGATGAGGTCTCACCTGCCCAGGCGGGTCTCGAACCTGCGGGCTCAGGCAATCCACTCACCTCAGCCTCCCAAAGGCGCGGGATTACAGACTGAGCCACCGAGCCCGGCTAATGTTTGATTTTTTAAAAAAAATCTAAAACATTTTCAATGCAAAAAAGTACACGTAAATGTAATTGTAGTTTTCCAAAAAATTAAATCTCCTGCTCCTGGGAAACGTACATACATATAAATTATTTAGCCATTTTAACTTTGGATTATTCTCTATATACAATACTCTGATTTAAAGTCTGAAAGTGTTAGTGTCTTAGTGCTTTTTTTAAGATTAGACTTAGTTTATTTGTAGTTTATTTTTTAAAAGTAAATGAAAGAGAGAGAAAGAAAGAAAGAAAGAGAGAGAGAGGAGATTCACCTCTCCAAGGTAGGGAAGGGGGCCAAAGCTAGGAAACATGGCGACAGCCATAGCTCCAAGAGCATATGGCCACACCAGTCTAGTAAGGCAATAGTCAAAATTGCCTGGCAATGGCATCTTAGTGCTTTTATTCCTGCAAATTGTTTGTTTTTTGATAAAATATATTTTCACAATACTGCAAATGTCCAATATCTTTCTGTATAAACTCTATTTTCTAAGCTAAATTATTTGAACACATTTTTCTTTTCGTTACATCTGTAGTTTGCCGTCAACATAAATTCTCTGAACGTGAATCAAGATTTTTTTTTTTTTGAGTTAGAGTCTCACTCTTGTTGCCCAGGCTGGAGTGCAGTGGCATGCTCACAGCCACCACAGCCTCGACTCGCTGGACTTTGGCAATCCTTCCACCTCAGCCTTCCAAGTAGCTGGAACTACAGATGCACACCACCACACCCGACTAGTTTTTGTGATTTATTGTAGAGACGAGGTCTCACCAAGTTGCCTAGGCTGGTCTCGCACCACCGGGGCTCAGGCAATCCTCTCGCCTCAGCCTCCCAAATTGCTGGCATTACAGGCGGAGCCACTGCACCTGGTCAAATCAAGCCTGAGCAACTGTTGCTGTATAAGTTTTCCTGTATACAGTAAGATCTGTGATATAAGAAAGATATTGTACTCTCTTTCTATTTGTAAAGTTTTCTTTTGGATAAATGCTCTTGTGCAATCTAAGACTTATATTTTGTGATTGGTTCTTCAATAGTCATTGCATTTACAACACTGTCAGTCAGTATGAACTCACTGATGCTGAGTATTATGTAAGCAAGTATTGAATGCTTTAACTCATTTTTTACATGTATACAATTCTCAGGTATGAAATATTTAATGTACATGATTTCATGTCCACATTCTTTACACTGGAAGTTTTTCTGTGGTATGAATTTTCCTATGTCTATAAAGGTGTGAGCACTGGTTAAAGGCTTTGCCACATTTTTCACATTTGTAGGGTCTCTCTCCAGTATGAATTCGCTTATGATTATTAACGTTTGCCAACTGGTTAAAAGCTTTACCACATTCTTCACATTTGTAGGGTTTCTCTCCAGTATGAATTCTTTTATGTACAGCAAGTTTTGAGGACTGATAAAAGGCTTTGCCACATTCTTCACATTTGTGGGGTTTCTCTCCAGTATGGATTCGCTTATGTTTAGTAAGGATTGAATACTGGTTAAAAGCTCTGCCACATACTTCACATTTGTAGGGCTTCTCTCCAGTATGAAGTCGCTTATGTTTAGTAAAGTATGATATATAGCTAAAAGCTTTGCCACATTCTTCACATTTGTAGGGTTTCTCTCCAGTATGAATTCTTTTATGTTCAGAAAGATGTGGGCACTGGTTAAAGGCTTTTTCACATTCTTTACATTGGAAGAGTTTTTCTGTGGTATGAATCTTCCTATGTTTAGAAAGGTGTGAGCACTGGTTAAAGGCTTTGCCACATTTTTCACATTTGTAGGGTTTCTCTCCAGTATGAATTCGCTTATGATTAGTAAGGCTTGACCACTGGTTAAAGGCTTTGCCACATTCTTCACATTTGTAAGGTTTCTCTCCAGTATGAATTCTTTTATGTACAGCAAGTCTTGAGGACTGGTAAAAGGCTTTGCCACATTCCTCACACTTATGGGGTTTCTCTCCAGTATGAAATCGCTTATGATTAGTAAGGTTTGACCACTGGCTAAAAGCTTTGCCACATTCCTCACATTTGTAGGGTTTCTCTCCAGTATGAATTCGCTTATGCTGGGTAAGGATTGACCACTGGTTAAAAGCTGTGCCACACTCTTCACATTTGTAGGGTTTTTCTCCTGTATGAATTCGCTTATGTTTTGTAAGGGTTGAGCATGAGTTAAAAGCTTTGCCACATTCTTCACATTTGTAGGGTTTCTCTCCTGAATGAATTCTTTTATGTTCAAAAAGGTTTGAGGACTGGTTAAAAGCTTTGCCACATTCTTCACATTTGTAGGGTTTCTCTCCAGTATGAATTCGCTTATGTTTAGTAAGGGCCGAGCACCAGTTAAAAGCTTTGCCACATTCTTCACATTTGTGAAGTCTCACTCTTGTATGATTTCTCTTATGTTGAGAAAAGGTTGAACTATATTTAAAAGCTTTGCCACATTGGTCACACTGGTAGAGTTTCTCTCCAAGATGAATTTTCTTATATTCAACAAACTGTGAACACTGGTTCAAGGCTTTGCCACATTCTCTGTATTTGTAGGGATTCTCTCCAGTATTAATTCTCTGATGTTGAGTTAGGATTGAAGACATGTAAATAGGTTTTCCATATTCTTTGCTTCTGAAAGGTTCCTCTCCAGTATAACTTATCTCATGTCTATTTAGATTTGACAATTTACTACGGACTTTCATACGTTCATTAGATTGAAAACTTTGGATATGGGTAGTTGAGAAACACTGGCTAAGTCCATTAGCACATCCTTTCCGCCCCTTACACTCACCTACACTTTCCCAGTCTGTCATTAAGTTTACATTCTCAAGGCTGCAATCTCCATATCTTCTCACTATCACTTTTTGGAATGAATCTTTTGTGTCCTGCTCTGTCAAAAGGTCTTTGGTAAAATGAGAAGACACTGCTGAAAGAAAAAAAAAAAACAAATTATGCCATTCAGGAAAATCAGATGAATATACTTTATAAACCTAACGCATACAATGATGAGAAGCACATGAACAAGACAGCATAAGTATCCCAGGCCCTTAGTCTTTCAAAGACACACAAACTTAACAAAAATATACTGACCAAAATGCCCTTGTGAGAATTCTATATACTAGTTAAGAGTTTGCAGTCTCCTAGTTGAGCACAATGCTAAGAGCCACATAGAAAGGGAAGAAAGGTTTGTTATATTAACCCACCAGAGCCCTTCCTCATCCCCAATACAGCATGATGCATCTAGGAGTAAACTCTCAACTCCTGGCTTCTCCCTCAAAAGAGAACAAAAAGTGGCACGTGTCCATATTGCTGGCTTTTAGTGGCCTTTCCAAAGACTGGTTTCTGTTTCCCAAGACACAGAGTGCTTAGGGGAATGGTGGTATACTGTGAATGACAGATTGGGTCTGTGAGACTAAGACTGTTACAGCAGCAGAGAGATAGCTGAACTACAGACAGAAAACAGATACAGTAAGTAATTATAGGCTGTTAAAAAGAAACATGGGCAAATCCCTTTAATAAAAAAATAAACATGTAATTTCAGAGAAGACACCTCCTAAGAACAGGTTTAAAAGGCTCCTAGAATCTCTACCCTGGTCAGTTAGTGACAGTTTCCCCAGGACAAAGCTACTTTATAAATATGGTGACAGGTGTTTTTTAATGCAAAAAATCTCAATGAAAGATTACAAAAGGCCAGGCACAGTGGTTTTAGCCTGTAATCCCAGAACTTTTGGAGGCCGAGGTGAGAGAACTGCCTGAGCCTGGGGGTTCGAGACCAGCCTGGGCAACTTGGTGAGACCTCATCTCGGCAATAAATCACAAAAACTAGCCAGGCGTGGTGGTGTGCATCTGTAGTTCCTGCTACTTGGAAAGCTAAGGTGAAAGGATTGCCTAAGCCCAGCAGGTCAAGGCTACAGTGGCTGTGAGTATGTATGCTACTGCACTCCAGCCTGGGTGACAAAGAGTGAGACTCCAACTCAAAAAAAAAAAAGAAAAAAAGAAAAAAAGATTACAACATACACAAAATATCAAGGTAAAAGGTTAAAAAAAAAAAAAAAAGAAAAGAAACAAAATATTCAGTAACCCTAAAACAGAAGTGTAGAAATTACATTTAATAAGTGAAATGAAAACGAAGACAATAATAAAATCAGGAAACTAAGAATACCAACAAAAATACTAAAAAACAGCAACTGGGCTAGGTGTGGTAGCTATAATCCCAGCACTTTGGGAAATGGAGGTGAGAGGATTGCCTGAGCACAGGGTGTTTAAGACCAACCTGGGCAACATAGCTAGACCTTGTCTCTACAAAAAAAAAAAAAAATATATATATATATATATATATATATATATATATATTTGCCAGGCATGGTGGTACTTGCCTGTGGTTCCAACTACTTGGAAAGGCTGAGGCAGAAGGATCACCTGAACCTAGCAGGTTGAAGCTGTGGTGGCCATGAACATATGAGTGTGCCACTGCACTCCAGCCTGGGTGACAGAGTGAGACTCTAATCCCTCCATGTACCCCCTTAAAAAAACTCCAGCAACTGGAGAGTTGAAGAATACAATAGTAATGACTGAGAAATATTTCAATGTAAGAAATGTTTTGATGTAAAGAAATAAAAAATCTCAACAAGCTTCAACTGGGATAAAAAAACAAACAGACCCTTAATAATACATATGGGGAAAACTCTTTAACCTCTTTAAGCACTCTGTGTCTTGGGAAACCTCTTTAAAAAAACCACACAATTCCAGAAAAGAAACATCCTAAGAACAGGTTAAAGAGGCTTCCAGCATCTCTATTTAGGTTGGTTGGTGTCAGTCTTCCTACAGCAATGCTACTTTGTAAAGATTGTGACAGGTAGCCTTTTAATGCCCAAATCTCAATAAAAGATTACAACACAAAATGTCACAATAACATGACCCAAAACATGAAACAAAATAAATAACCAGATATCAACCCTAAAAAAATAGAAACATATAAATTACCTTTAATAAGTGAAATTAAAACATAGACACAAAATGAAACCAAGAAAATAATATTAATAAAAATACTAAAAACATAGCAATTGTAGAGTCAAAGAATACAATAATAATGACAAAATTTTAAATGTATATAATAATAACTAGCCGGGCTCGGTGGATCAGCCTGTAATCCTGTGCCTTTGGGAGGCTGAGTTGAATGGATTGCCTGAGTCCACAGGTTCGAGACCTGCCTGGGCAACTTGGCGAGACCTCATCTCTACAATAAATCAAAAAATCAGCCAGGCGTGGTAACACATGCCTGTAATTCCGGCTACTTGGAAGGCTGAGGTGGAAGGATTGCCGGAGCCCAGCAGGTCGAGGCTACGGTGGCCAGGAGCGGCCACTGCACTCCAGTCTGGGCGACAGAGTGAGACTCCAACTCAAAAAAATAAATAAATAAAAATAAAATAAAATAAAATAAAAAGATTAAAAACAATAATAACTAGAAATGTCTCAATATAAGAAAAAAGATGTAAAAAAATCAAGAAGCATAACAAATTTCAACTAGGATAAAAACAGAGACCTATAACAAGACACATTATAAGCAAAGTTTTAAAAGTCACAGACAAAAAATCCTGAAAGCAAAAATAAAGTGAAGTGTCATATGTAAGCATGCTCCTATGAGAACACCAATGGGTTTATCAACAAAATCCTAGCAGTCTAGCAGGAAGTTGAGTGATACAACAAAGAAAACTGTTCTTCAAAATGATGAGAAAAAAAAAACTTTTCAAGGCAACCAAATGCTGAAAAATCACATCACTAGTAGACGTGCCCTACAAGAAATTATAAAGGGAGCCCCTTCCACTGAAAGTAAAACAACATAATATGAAAATACATAACACTCTGGAAAAGACATGTACATACACAAAAATACAATTATATTGTATTATAATGATGCAGAAAACATTTTTTTTTGAATTGGAGTATCACTCATCACCCAGGCTGGAGTACAGTGGCATGCTCCTGGCCACCCCAGCGTCAACCTGCTAAGCTCCGGCAATCCTTCTGCCTCAGCCTTCCAAGTAGTTGGAACTACAGGCACGTGCTACCATGCCCAGCTAATGTTTTTAATTTTATTGTAGAGACGAGGTCTCACCATGTTGCCCAGGCTGGTCTCGAACCCACGGGCTTACGCAGTCCTCTCGCCTTGGCCTCCCAAAGTGCTGGGATTACAGGCTGAGCCACTGAACCCAGCCAGAAAACATTTTTAATTATGCTCAAAAATTTTAAAGACAAAAGTAGAAGAGAATTATATGCATCTGCTAATGGATACATAATATAAAAGCATATAGTAAATGAAATAAGTAACATAGAGTTGAGGACTGATGTACTGACAAAGAATGTTTCTATTCAACCAAAGTTACCAGTTAAACATATATTGCTAAGCAGGCCGGGCTTGGTGGCTCAGTCTGTAATCCCAGCACTTTGGGAAGGCGAGGTGAGTGGATTGCCTGAGCCCAAAGGTTCAAAACCCACCTGGGCAACTTGGCAAGACCTCATGTCTACAATAAATCAAAAAAATTAGCCAAGTGTGGTAGCACACGCCTGTAGTTCCAGCTATTTGGAAGGCTGAGGCAGAAGGATCGCCTGAGCCCAGTAGGTTGAGGCTGCGATGGCTGGGTGCGTGCCACTGCACTCCAGTCTGGGCAACAAAGTGAGACTCCAACTCCCCAAAAAAAAAAGAAAAGAAAAGAAAAACAAGATTCAACTATATTCTGTCCACAATAGACTCACTTTAGACCTAATGAAAAAACAGACTAAAAGTGGCAGGAAGGAAAAAAAACATTCCATGCAAATGTTAGCCAAATGAGAACAGAAGGGGTATATCAGGCAAAATACATTTTAAATTTAAAACTGTCATCATTCACAAAATATTCATTGGGAACTTATGACAAATATATGTATATGTGTATACATATATGGAGGTGCCAAAAAATGTATACACATTTTAAGATGTTATCAACGTATTACTTTAAGAAGTTGAACAGAATTATAGTAGCAATGCATAGTATGACATTCACTCAAAAGATGGCATTAATCGAATAACTTGTGACTTGTATTCATCTTTTGTTATCGCATATATTTAGTATTACATTTTTAATACAGTTTTTTTTCCTTTCTTAAAATGTGTATTCTTTTGTTTTGGGGGGGCACCATCTATATTTACCACATGAGAGTTCCCCAATAAGAGAAGGAACCTTCCAGAAAACTGAATTATCTTTTGGAAGGTGGGTTCCTTTGCACTACAGGCTTCCTCCACCAGGTAAGTATAATACGAACCCATCAGCATCACTGTACCAGCTAGCACTGTTGTGCGAGGCTGTGTTCGGCTTCAGTAAATTTTTTTTGGATTCTTTCAATGCGTTTGCTCATTTCATGATGAGTGACTTAATAAGCACATCTGCCCACATCGTGCTGAGTGTTCAGCAGTTTTTGACTAAAAACAGCACGGCCCCTACCCTTATTTACCAGATATCACCACCTTGAGTGACATTTTTTTGTTTCCCTAGATGAAAAAAGTTCTCTATGGGGAAACATTTTGCCTTTGTGGGAGAGGTGAAATAAAAAACAATGGAAGCACTAGAATGAATCAAAACTGATGAGTTCAAAAACTGTCTTAAACAGTGGAAAAAGTGCCTTGATAAGTATATTACATCAAATGGAGAGTACTATGAAGGTGATTAAAGTTTAAATATGTAAGAATACACAAAGCTTTAAAAAATAAATTCCAATTTTTCTTGGATTCTCTCTCATACACAAAGCAAACACTAGAGAACAGAGTCAAGAAATACACAGGGAGCAAAGAACTTGAAAGTGCCATAATACAAACTACAGTTAAAGGATGTATAGTGAATATACCACAAAATAGCAGGTGACACAATCATCTCAAGAGCTCATAAAACATTC